ACAAAGCTAGGTTTATTTGACATCTTTCTTATTTCTTAATGCAGTCATTTATTCCTATGAACTTCTCTCTTAGAACTGCTTTGGATCCATCCCTCTCTTTTTCTTTTGGCCATGTTGCAAGGCTTGCACAATCTTAGTTCTCCAACCAGGGACTGAACCTTGGCCCTTGATAGTCAGTATGGATTCCTAAGCAATTGACCACCAGGGAATTCCCATTCCATATGTTTTGTTATGTTGTATTTCTATTTTCATTTGTCTCAAGACATTCTTTAATGTTTCAACCCATTGTTCAGTAGCACATTGTTTAATTCCCACGTTTGTGGATTTTTCAGTTTACTTCTTGTAATTAATTTCTAGTTTCATACCACTGTGGTTGGAAAAATTGCTTGACATGACTTCAGACTTCTTAACTTTGTTAGGACTTGTTTTGTGGCCTAAAATATGCTCTAACCTGGAGAATGTACCATGTGCACTTGAGAAGAATATGCAGTCTTCTACTTTTGGATGCAGTGTTTCATAAATGTCTGTTAAATCTATCTGGTCTAACTTGTCTTTTAAGTTTGATGTTTTCTTACTGATATTCTACGTGAATCCAATATTGAAAGTAGAAAACTGAGTCCATTCCTATTATTGTATAGCTGTTGATTTTTCCCCTTCATGTCTGTTCATATTTGCTTTATGTATTTAGGTACTCCTATGTTGGGGTGCATAAATATTTACAAATGTTTTATAGACTTGTTGGGCTAGTAACTTTATCATTATGTAACACCTATCTTTATCTTTTATTAGAGTCTTTGCTTTAAGTCTATTTTGTCTGATGTAAGTATAGCTACTCCTGCTTTCTTCTGGCTTTTGTTTGTATGGAATATCTTTTTCCATCCCTTTGAGTTTGTGTGCTATCTTAAAGCTGAAGTGAGACTCTTAGAGGCAATATATAGTTGGGTCTTGTTTCTTTTACTCAATTCAGTCACTCTGGCTTTTGATTGGAGAAATCAATCCATTTCATTCAAAATAATTTTTGAAAGGTTTGGACTTATTAAAAGTTACTATTGTCATTGTGTTAATTGTTTTCTGGTTGTAATTTCTTTCTTTTGTAATTTTGTAATTCATTTCTTCCTTTCTTCTCTTGCTCTTTTTCTTCATGATTTGATGATTTTCTGTAGTTTTTATGCTTGGGTTCCATTATCTTTTGTGTATCTATTACAGTTTTTACTTTGCAGCTACCATGAGGTTTATATAAAATATCTTATATATGTAACTGTCTATTTTAAGTTGATAACAACTTAAGTCAAATGAATACTAAAGCTCTACATTTTTAACTTCCCCCACCATGTTTCATGTTTTGTGGTCATAATCTAAATATTTTTTATCTTTTCTGTTAACAAATTACTGTAATTATAATTATTTTTACTACTTTTGTCTTCTAACCTTTATACTAGATTTATAAGTGATTTACCTACCACCACTACAACATAAGGCTTCCCAGGTGGCTAAAGAACCAACCCTCCAATGCAGGAGACACAAGAGACATTGGTTTGATCCTTGGATCAGGAAGATCCCCTGGAGGAAGGAATGGCAACCCACTCCAGTATTCTTGCCTAGAGAATCCCATGGACAGAGAAGCCTGGTGGGCTATGGTCCATATTTGTCACAAAGAGTTGGATACCACTGAAATGACTTAGTAAGCATGCAAACACTACAACATGAGAGTGTTTTGAATTTAACTATATATTTACTTTTACCAGTGACATTTATTCTATTACATGTTTTCCTGTTCTCAATTAGAGCCATTTTCTTTCGGCTTGAAGACACTCCTTTAACACATTTCTTGTAAAGCCCATCTAGTAGTGCTGAACTCCTTTAGTCTTTGGTTGTCTGGAAAACTCTTTATGTCTTCTACTAAAACAAACTGCCAATTATAATATGCTATAATGACCATTCTCTCACAGTTTTACATATTTTGAAACTAAAACTCTACATTAAAAAAACAAACTCTGCATAATAAACAGCAATTCCTTCCCACCTGTATACTTAGCTAGTCTACTAGATAAGACAGAGGAATGTAAATGCGCCTTGGTATTATCTCTAATAGTATTGGTCAAGTCACCTTTAATAAATATCAATTAAAATAATTCCGTTAGTGATCTTAAAATACATGGAAGGGGCTTTAAAGACTATCTTTAGAACATAAAGCAGACAGAGGTTTTGATTTCAAAGACTATGCATGGAAGAAAGGAAAGTACTACGAATAATTAAAAGCAATTCATTTCCACATGGAAAAACGTGCTCTGACACATTGTAAAGTGATTTCTAGCATATTGACTGTAGTTCTTCTAATGAAAAAGCAATTGTCCAGGTCTTCCCTGGAGAACACTCTCAGTAACAGGAATCCATGCCCATGGAAAGTCATAAGTTAGAAAATGAGAACCAAATGAACTCACAGCTGGGAAAAGCCAACAATAATTAATTTAACACCAGTCATTTGTGGCAAACATGTATACATTTCAAAATTTCCCTTGAGAGAAGCAAGGTCATTGAAGGCCAGAGGCCACATATTTTAACATGTTCAAAAAATTTTTACTTAATAAGATAACATGCTCCAAAGGTTTTACATTAAAAAAGACAACAACAACAAAAAACTTGTTTTAGGACTCGGGAGTTATGATAAATAGTTGGTCAATGTCATCATTTGAATTTTAATACTGTAATAAGTGTTTCTGAAAAACATCACTAAAATGAGTTCACACTGAACTTGGACAATATATTCCTCAACAGCAGCGGAGAGAAAACGGTGTCATTAAAAGGGGCTTTATTCTGATTCATTGGCTAAGAAAATGGGAGCAGTTTGAAACCTTGCATGTTGTTTCACTTTAATGAGTAGAGAGCATTTTTCACGTCCTTATTAAAGCGGTTAATGTGCTTCTCTAGTCTCATTATCACCACCAGAGTATACTCTCTGTTGTTTCACAACCAGGACAACTCCTTTTCGTTTCAGAGAAGATCAGAAAGTCAAATCTGATTGCTCACATGTGGCTGTTAATAAAACTCCTATGGCGTTGCTCAAGGTGCCCATGGGGATTGTACAATTATTTATATTTTCTTATGGCTTTTTATAATTACTGTGATTGTACTTTCACAAAGTAAATGTATCTCCACCAATTAAAGCAGTGGTGGGTTAAGAATATTCATCAGGCTTGTGTGAAAGAATATTGTTCTTAGGGTTTTGATCAAAGCACAGAAATTAAACTGCTGTTATCATGCATTCAACCCAAGTGTTAAATTAAAATGCTCAGCAACTTTGGAGTTTATTTGAGCAGATGTTAACTATTTATGAAAAAAATAAACATGATACAGGACTTGCATTCGTGATATGATTCTTTGTTGTATTAAAAGTGCTGGAAAGAAAAACTGCTACACAAACTTGGGGGATACAGTTTATGATATAAGATCAATTTGGATGGTGGTTAATTCAGGTCAATTTAAAATTTCAGAATCATAAAATTCCAAGAACTCTCATTTTGCTTTACATCTTTATATCTTATTTGCTTCACCCCTTTATTTTCTTTGAAGACTCTGGGACTAAGAAAGAACATGCACAAAAACAAGCATCTGAGGCTATCAACTAGAAAATACAGAATATAACTTTTTATATTTTGTCATATAGAAATTGCATTTTATCTAGTTGGACAGTGCTCACAGCAAAAGTGATCAGCTGTACTTCCATTCCATTAGCTATCACTTTGATGCTAGAATTTTAGCCTGCTGTGTGTGAGATGTGACTGTCCATGCACAGTTCCCATCAAAGGTAATTTTATGTGCAATGGTGTGTAAAATTTACCTCTAATTATGATAAGGTCACTGATGGGTCATTTATGATATGCTTTCTGGAGACAATTGCAGTGAATAGCTTTTGGTGAGATTCATCTGGAGAAATTAAATTGGTCTGACCATGACTCAAGAGAAAGTGAAAGACTCAGAAAATTATTCTTAAATCATGCTTAAAGTTCTAAGGGAACTCAGAGAGGGGTAGTATGCACAGTGATGAAGGCTGTGAGTTTTGAGATTTTACAGACCTGAGTTTTAATGTAGCATCTCTAAGCCTGGAAACTCCTACTTGATCAGGCTCCTGCACATCTCTTGGCTTCCATTTCTGACATTTGCTCCCTGAGGCTCCAGCACCACTGGCATACTTCCTGATTTTTGAACATGCCATAGTCACTCATGCTTCCGGGGCCTTTGCACTACAAAGTTTCCTGTAGCTGAATGTAGCTGAATGCTCTTCCTTCAGGTCTTCAAGTGCCTGGAACTTCCTGTTCTTTTTTTTTCCCCAATTGGTGGAATGCATTGTATCCACTCTCTGAATTACCCAAACATAGCTTCCTCCTAGATATCTAAAGTGGCCACCTCCTGACTCTAGTTAATCACTATTGTGTCAACCTACGATGTTTCTGAAGTACTAATCACAGTCTTAAATTATTCATTTACCACTTAATGTATAATTAAGTTTGCATATGATCATAGGGAGAAACAAATCTAAGAATGAAAGGTATTTTGACTAAGAGATTCTACAATCTTGAAACTCCACTGACATTAGCTATACAAGTCACTGCTCCAATCTTGATAAAAGTAATTAGCCTCCAATTAAAATAAATTAATTTTAAAACAAAGGAGATCTTAGTAAACAAATCAGGGATGGAAAAACTTCTTCAACTTTATGTAAGACAGCATGAAAATAAAACATCTCATGAGAAATTTTATTAAAATAGTCATTAAAGTGATTTCAATTTTCACTGTGACCATGATGGACCTCCTTGAAGGCAGAATATGTTAGTCACTTTAGATATTAACACTTTGTGAAGAGGGTTTTTATGTGTAATGGTGCAAAAGTAAAAATTCAAGATTAATAAATACAGTAAGATTTATCTTTATTTAAATCTATCAGTATTTTGTTTTCAGTCTTCTTTCCCAAGATAACTTACTTATAGACATAGTAATGACTTTTCAAATGGTTCGTGTTCAATTAACACAAAAGACTAAGTGCTAGATGGATTGGAAGGTCATCTTTGTGTTTCAATCCTTAATGCAAAGTGCAACAACAAGAACAAAGATGAAATCCTTACCAAAGGGTCCAGTCATGGCCACAGTACGGCTGAACATTTCCAAGGTAGAATCCCAGAGACTGAGTGACCTCCACAAGATTGGTAAAGTCAAGACTGATGCTGTTGAAAAGTACAGATGTCATGATAATCTCATCAATAGCCCATACATCCTCTCCCTGGGAAGAATGGTATGGTTGCCACCATCTGAACTGAATTCCAAACTGTCTTGCATCATCTGGTAATTCTACGGAGATTATTCTAAAGCAGAAAACAGAAGTAAAAATTCAGATTATTTTGGTGTCTTAAAATATAAACATTTATAGCAGTATCTTGTTTTCTGCAGTACAATTCTCCCACTGACAAACATTTTTGAGATTTTCCAGTTTCTTGTCTGACTGCAACAAAGTCTTGATACATCAAAAATATGACTGCTTTCACTCAGTTGCTCTCAGAGACACTAACCCAATAAAACACAGTTGTCAATGTGCAAGATTCGCCTAAGTCTGGTAAAGAATACTGGCAGCTTGTTACACATATTATAGTTTTGGACTGGTAGGAACCATGGCACTTTCTCATCCCCATGAGTTTAGCATAGTGTGAGAGGTCACTTGCTCTGTCATGGTGGCTATGACAACAAACCTGTATCTGACAAATGGGGAAGAAAATTAAGAATAATATCTAATTTCCAGGAGCAATCATTGTACACAGCAGCAGGAACCATACATTAATTGCCACTGCAATGACATCTGCTTGAAAGCTCCATAAATCACAGTACCATGCTGTTCACATCCATACACAAGGTGAGATGTGAAGTGAATGGCAAATGGAACATTTATCTCCATCAATGTACAATTAAACACCAGGAGAGTTGTCTGCGTTAACGCACACTGAAAGGACTGAATCTTTTTCCTAGTGAGCAAAGAAAAACTCCCTAAGGCAGGTAACTAGCTGGATAACTTAGAAAAAAATTATTTAAAAACTTCAAAGTCTAAGGCTGGATTACTGAAAAAGTAGATTGATTTTCATATTTGTATTATGTTCATCTTTTAGTTATTACACAAAGAAGCATTAAATCACATCTTGAAAATATAATTTTTGTGTACTGAATCTTATTAAAAATAAAGTCTGTTTTTTCTTTAAATAATCTGTACATGAAAATATGGGGTGGAATAATCTGATTACAATCATTGATGATAAAAACAGTAAAAAAGTGGTAGGACTTTTTGAAATGTGAGTAAACAGAGACTTTTTAAATAGGAGAAATCAATGTTCAAATACAGAAATATAAACTAAAAAGCATTTCTTAAGCTAAAAAGACATAGTTACCATAAGTTTATTATTTTTAAGTACATAATTTGCTAATATTTTAACCAATGTGGGTTTATTAAAAGAGTAAAATATAAGTTATTTTGTTAATTCTCACTTTATTTTTTTCTAAATGTTTATTAAATAATTAATAATTATTTATGTCAACATAGCAATGAAATAATAAAATAATGAAACTATATTCAAACTGGCTTAACAATAAAAACATCATACATTAATTTAATGTTACTGTATTAGCATTGTTATAGAAAATTATAATTTTTATATTAATAATTAAAAAAGCAGGTATTATTCTCTCTGTTGAAAATATACACAATGTTAAAAATTAACAACTGAGAGGTAGAATTTCTCAGGAAATTTTAAAGAAAATAAAGTGTATATGTGTGTGATAACAGTAATTGAAGTGACTGATATTTTCATCGGCAGAGATGTTAAAACTGTGAGTCTGTAATCAGACTCTTGGCACCTAATGGTTGACAACTTTGCAGCTGCAGGGAAGGTATTTAACCTCTATGCGCCTCAGCATCTTCATCTGTGAAACTGAGATAATACTATCCTTACGGCAAAGTCAAAGACTTTTTTCTGTTTTTCACTCTTTTATCTTAGCACCTAGAACCTGGTATCTGGTATATAAAAAGGATGTAATAAATTCTTTCTGCATAGAATAAGTACATATTATCAGTATACTCTGATAGAGACTCAAACACAAAGGCAAAAGGAGATTAAAGATTTTCTTCTAGGTTAAGCAGCTTTTAAGTGACAATGCCAGGGAATTGATCTAGTGAACATGGCTCTAGAATCTGTGTTCTTTATCGCTACATTATATCTTCAGGTGGGGTGGGAGTCTCTGTTTTTCCTACTCTATACCTATTACAGTGACTGGCTAGGATAGCTATGGAACCATTTGATCTGACTATTCCTAGAGGAAAACCCAGGAATTTAAGTCAACTTTCTGTTTCAAGCTTCCTTTTTTGGATATGTACTAAGCTCATGAATTTCTTATAATCAATAACCAAGACAAGAATAAGATATTGTTAGACTTTATAATTTTAGAGTAAAAAAACAAGCCCCATAATTAAGAAAAATTTAGAATAATACTAGTTTCACCAACAATATAAAGTTTTATATTATCTAGGGTGAATCAGATCACCAGCCCAGGTTGGTTTCATGAGACAAGTGCTCGGGCCTGGTGCACTGGGAAGACCCAGAGGGATCGGGTGGAGAGGGAGGTGGGAGGAGGGACCGGGATGGGGAATACATGTAAATCCATGGCTAATTTTCAATGTATGACAAAAACTACTGCAATGATGTAAAGTAATTAGCCTCAACTAATAAAAATAAATGGAAAAAAAAAGTTTTATATTAATAAGAATGCCAATTAGTTTACAAGACAGTCTAATCAGTTAGAGTTAAAAGATTAACTCAGATATATACAGACTTTAACTTTTATAAATAACAAGCAGAACTCTTCATTTATTGAGTGAACTACAGGTAAGAAAATTATTAGAAATCAGCTAGGAATAACAGTAGTTAGCCAACTAGCATATCTAATAGGGATCACACTTCATTTTCTAGCAACCATGGCAGAAAGGGACAATATGAAATTTATAGCAATTACAGATAGCAATTTATACTGAAGAAAACTCAGCAAATGGCTGAAGGCATGAAGACATAATTAACTGTCCTATGGCGAGTTTACATGGTTTGTATTATTTATCATATAAAATGCAATTTAGTGTCTAGAATATATCAAATTCTACTTCTGCTATGTTACCCTTTATTAATATTTATATAAGAGGACGGAAGAGTCTCTTGGACAGAGGCAATATATATAAAATGAAAGTATTCTTGGTACCACTACCATATTCTCCATTTAAAAAAATCTCCACTCTGATCTTAATCTTTCAAGCAGTGCACATACCTAGTGTTGAAAAGCCACCTTGATTCTGCTTAGAAGAAAAATGTTGCTGTCAAATGGCAGGCAAGATTAAACGTACCTTTGCAATAGCACATTAAATCTATAATTATTTTTCATATCAACAATGATTAATTAAATTTCATGCTACAAACTGATTACTGAATTTTGAAACTGTCTATCTTTGTTAGAAAAAAATGTATTTTAGGCCAATTTAACTTAGGACAATGATATTTTCTTCATGCTTTCATTATTTTTTATTATCACCTTGAGTTTTGCTAGATTTTCTTTTAATGCTTATTATGGAGAGTCTACAAAATGTTTCTTTAGGATTCATATGTCTCTACTGAGTGAGAACATTGAGTTTAGTTTTGTGTATACCCTTAGAGGGAATAGATTCAACACATTTGGTGCATTCTTAAATTTTATAACATGTAATATTTACTACTCATAATAGTTGTTAAATATTATCTCTATTACATGCTACCTAATTTTCTAATGAAAATATCAATAAAAGTTCTCATCTATTTACAAATACTTAAATATAGGGATAGCTCTAGGCAAAACTGCAAAGTATATAAAATCATCATTGCCCCTGCTGTTTTGCTATGATGCCAGTGCACACTTCAGTGCCCAAAGCCTCAACTCTTTTTCACATCTTTCCATGTTCAACATGTATGTACTTCCAGGAAGCCAAACTTTATTAGCTCTTTCTATTTCTGTGGATATAAGCCACAGAGATACCTACTCTAGTGCTATTTTAACTTCCCAATCTTCATCTGCTGCTATTTTAAAGGAATTTCAGTCAACAGGTCAAAAAGTGTTCTAGAAAAGGAGGTGACTCTTTGGACACATCTGAAATTGTATCACAAATAGTGATTATCACTACCCAAACTGAAGGATGGCTCTGCTTCAAGTAAAACTTAAATCTCACAATTTTGACTGTAGACTGTGAAATACATAAGCCAAAGGAAAATAGAAGTGGCCTGAAGAAAGGGCTTTAAATACAGCCTCCACTCCATCTTTGCCAGGGACGCTATATATGCTAGAAAAATATCTTTGTACTTATAACTCAATTATGTTACATGCAAATTTAAAAAAATCAGTCATAAGATTTTATGAGTTATTATCTCATATGATTTATTATAATCTATCATATATTGCTGACAAATATTTGTCAACAGCATTTATAATTTAATACTATATTAAAATCTTATCTAATAGTTTGTACTAGAGTTGAAAGGGAAAAAAGTGTTAATTATTTTTCTCTTTCTTAGACATATTTCCCCTAGATACACATTTCAGAATATGAGAATAAGTTTTTTCAAATTCCCAGAAGTCAGCAGGGCAAACAGATTACAAGAATGTAGCTTGCTAGCTTTTCATTGCAAGAGGTATCAATCTTTATCCTTATCATCTCTCAATGCAAAAATATCTAGGCTCTTATACCACTTGAACAAAGATTTCCTCAGGAAGGAAATGTCACCCTCCCATTTTTCCAAATGCTTTCCAACATACCTGGGCTCATGATAGTTGAGATATGAATAATGCTCCAAGAGTTTCCAAGTTATCCCATTATCATAAGAATAATGTAATAAAACACCTTCACCAGGTTGGTCAGGGGCTTTGCACGTGCTCAGAACAGACTTGCTTCCCAGCCTCAATGTGAACTGGAGAAACCTAGATAGACATGAACTGTCTATAATTAGTGTGCATAAACATTTAAAACATTCATTGTGGCTTTTAAAGAATTTTGAACCAGTTTCAGTGAACTACTCAAGCTGTAGGTTTCCATTCATCCCTCTTCTATAAAACGTAAGCAATTTCACTGAGATATATAAGAATATATGTAGAAGATGAGGTCAATACATGTGTTTTATAGACATCTATTTATACAAATATAACCATATGTTTACACATATTTGTATACTTCATACTTGTGTACATACACTAAAAATGTCAATCATTCTCTTGCTACATTATTTATTAAGCACTGGGGGGAAGGGAAGATGTAGGGTAAATCTAATCAGCCTCTGCAAGCTGTCAAATAAATAAAACTACATAAATAATTAACTAGCCCTTGGCTTAAGAACAGTTCTGATGTTAACATTTCATATTTTTTAAAAAATCTAGTCAGTCATTAGTATCTTAAAATCATTAGTGAGCTTTTTAATTTATTAAAAACTAGGGCAAATTAACCCTATATAAACTATAAGCTTCCTCTCATCTTGACTAAAAATCAGGAGAGAGATATATTAGTAACAAAGAAAAAAAAGAAAATTAATAGATCTGAATTCAATCTTTGCTATCTTATTTCTGTATGTATTTCACTCTGCTTTAACTCACCTGGATTGTGAGCTGTCAAGGAAAGATGTGATTAACTGACGCCTCCCATCTTTGTTGAAAACCAGGGCCTTACCACTGGCCAAGACACCACAGCCAAAGCTGACTTCAGCACCACGGATAGAGTAAAAATTATGGTAAGATGAGAGCCTGGAACTGCCAAAGCTTTCAGAAATAAACATTGGGAACGTCTGGGATGCCATCTCACAAGCTGGGCCAGAAAATCCAGGGTCACATCTGAAAGAGAGACCATGAAATTAAATCCTAAATGTTAGTCCTTTCAGAGATTTCTTTATTTACTTTAGGGATGAGGAAGTCCAGAAGCCAGTATTTGAATGAATGGTGAGCAAGGCTTATTTGTTTTTGGAGAATACTGAATTTGAAGGCTTGATTTGGGAGAAGTTATTGTAAATACTCCAAAAGGATACAGTCCTGCTGTAAAAAAAATTATGATTAAAACATTTATTCAGCACTTGCCCTCAACCAATGCCAATGATTTATCTGCAAATGTACCTATGTTTGTGCATATTTCCAATTTAAAATCTTTGTAAAAGTTATATTATGTGTATGCAATTTTATTCACAATGATGTTCATTAAATTTATAAAAGAAACAATGTAGGTAAAATACTTCTATAAGATATCTAGAATAAATTTCCTTTAGAAACAGTTGTAAAAATACATGCTATATTTTTTACAGTAATTACTGGAAATATTAAGAAAAGATTGGAAAATGAATCTATTTTTATTTCAAACTGGATTGGCATTATAAAGGGAATGCATACACCCTTGACCTAGATAGATGTCCTTAGCAGAACTGTGTTGTCTCTCAGTGGAATCCCACATTAGCAGTGCTTTGAGAAAAAGCAACCCCCCTCACACAGAGTACACAACAGCCTGCCTGCTGCCATATAAGGATGTACTGTATGTATGTGAGCTGACTAGAATATAGAGTTACCTGAGTCTTCTGTTAGTGACAGAACTCATCACAGATGACTTAATAACTGAATATCAGAAACTTCTTATATTTTAAGGAGTTTGCTCATCAGGAATCAGTTTCAAATTCTTTATTTGTATGGCACTATTTCCTTCTCATGATAATTACTACATTACCCATTATAAAATTAAACTGGTATCTTTCTGGGTGGGTGGCAGGGTTCTAAGCATTCAAAACTTTCTAAAACCTGAAACAAACCTTTTATTTTATTTATTGAAATTTTAATTGAAGTATAGTTGATTTATAAGGTTGGGTTTGTTTTTGGTGTGCAGAAAAGTGATTCAGATATATATATTCCTTTCCAAATTATTTTCCATTATTGTTTATTACAGGATATTGGATACAGTTGTCTGTGCTATACAGTATGTCCTTGCTGCTTATCTATTTTGTATACATAGGGTGTATCTGCTAGTTCCAAACTCTTAATTTATCCCCCCTCCACTGCTTTTCCCATTTGGTAAGCATTAGTTTGTTTTCTATGTCTGTGAGTCTGCGGAACACGTCTTTTATAAAGCAGGTGCACCAACAAGGTGATATTATAGCAACACTTACAGACTACTTCACTAGCACACATGCAGAAACTGAGATCCATGCTAGCCTCACAGAGGGTCCCTGGAGTATGTAAATGTCCTGAAATCAAATGCAAAATTTTATATGTATTGGATATTCCTTGGGAGGCTTAAGTTATCATCATTTTATCAAAGAGGTTGCATCCTAAAAGGCCAAGAACTATTGTAGCACACAGCTAAGGTTGTCCTGGCATTAGGGATGGGAGTGGAAAAGAAAACCAATATTTACAGAGCAGGTAAATACACCTCAAACAGTTCACTTATTTCTCAGGTTATCCCTTTGACTTAGTCCAACTCTGAATAGCCAGGCAGTTTCTAAAAAGGATAAGAAGTCAGCTAAACAGGATACATTTTAACATTGGAAAACAATATGGTTTACCATGGCCACAAATTGGAATTAATGTTCCCCAGTAAGATTATCTATTGCCAGAGTGCTTTTCAGGGCAAATGCATATCTGTATATTAAATGTATCTTCTTCAGTCTAGTAATTGGGGGAAACTGGTGATCATTTAGAGAAGACTCACTTTGGAGTCACTTCCTGTCTTGAAAGTGTACTTTAATCAAAAGTTACATAATTGGGATAGAATGCTGATAAGGAGTTCACTCAAATATATAATACCTTTGTAGCCTCTGTTTTGCAGCAGAATAGTAGGCTGGCACACACTGGGGATTTCAGGAATGTCCAGATGCTCTTCTGACTCCAAATATGTCCCTTCTTGGTTCATCTATGCACCCTTAAATGTGGCATTACAGTCACCTTGAATGTCAGGGGAAGAGGCCCGCCCCACTCTTAAGACATACAGATGACACCTGTGTAGGAAGGTTTCTAATACTCTCTGTACTCATTAGCATTTCTAACAGAAATAAGCTTATCAGGATAATAAGTTGTCAGTTTAGAAAACCAGGCCTTTTTGCCCCAGTTGCTTAATAATAAAATAGTAAATATATTTCCCAAGGGAAATGCTCAGTTTTTCAGTTGAAAATTGCTCTTTTTGTAAGTAATCCTCTGTCCAGTATTACTTCTGATAGTTACCACCTCGTGGTCTTTAGCTACTTCTGATCACATGTTACATAGGGTTAACACTAACCATTTGTCATTAAAAATATATTGACTTGATTGTTAAAAAAAAAAGAAAAGAAAACCAGGCCTGGGGATTGTACACAGCCAAGAAAGTGTTAGAAAGCAGGAGAGGTGGAATCCTGGTAGCAAATAACAGTAGTGACTAAGGGAGCAAAGTGGGGAGAAGAAGAGGTGCAGAGGCCCAAATTCAAGGATCTGTTTAAAGGAAATAAATGGTACTGAATGTGAATTATTTTTCTGTGGAGTTCTGCCTGAAATTGAAAGGCATACATTGCTGGAAAAGGAGGCAGTGGCCAAACATTTATCCCAGTCACAAATGAAGAAAGCCAATGAATGTTACAAGGAACATTGCCAGCAACAGGGATAAAACTAAAGTTCCAACTGGTGAAAAAGTTTTGCAAGACTTCAGCAGGAAGAAAAGGCTACAATTATTCAGGATAATGTATAGTGTCTAAAAAAAAGATGCCAAAAGGCATCTGTCATTCAGATTTCTGTTTGCATCCATCATGGGTGACACAGATGGCTGCCTTAACAAAGTTATTTAATGCTAACAGAGATACTGTACACAAAATAATGAGGTACAAAGTGTAACCATTGTAATTATAGATAGGTATTTCAGAAATAGCACTTTCTATTTTCATTAATAAAAGCAGCTGTCATTTTAGGTAATTTGCTTTCAAAATTTTTCAGGACAACTTTAGAAATTAAAAAAATGTCAGCTTCTCTGTGTTAATTTTATTTGAAATGCACTGATGGAGATGATGATCTGTCTACAGATAATGAGTAAAGATAAAACTGGAGGAAAATACCAGCTGATGTTTCATAGTTCTAATGAGTCAGTGTTTCTGGGCAGGAGCTGGTAGTTTTATTTAAAAAGGCAGAGATGCTTATTCTGTTTTGAGATAAAATGGGAAGTTTTCAATTCTTTACATATATTTCCATTACAAACATTTCCATTATGCAGAATGGTGTCTCTGTTAATTAAATTCATTGAAATACAGTTTAAAAAGTTAACCTGAGACTCAGTGTGACAGAGTAAGAGGATGTAGAACTTACCCCTACCCTACAAACACATTAAAAATACATCTATATGTGAAACAATTCTCATGTAAAACTAAGTGGAAACTGGCAGAACTCCCACACAACCAAGGCTGTCAGAAAGGCAGTCACGTAATCAGGTAGGATGGGGAAAAAAGGCATCAGCTGGGTACTGTACCTCTGGGAGGGGTCTAAGAGGAAAGGAAGGACTGCACGGGTGGAATCTCACCCTGGGGAGAGAGCCACAGACTAGGTATACTGGCACTGGGGTCCTACATGCAGGAGCACCCAGTGCCCTTGGGAGCTGGGAGGATGACTGGGACAGACAGAAGGGCTGCAGAGGCCTCAACTCCACTCGCCAGGAGTAGGAGGGTGCTGGCTTGCCAACAGACAGGGCAGAGAGAGCCTGGACTAGTGGCTGCCACCTCACTGTGCTCCCCAGTCCAAGTTGGGTGAATACTGGCCCTGTTCACTCTGCAACACAGCTTGGCATGGCATCTAGAGCGGACAGGTCCTAGGGGAAAACTTGATATAGGGACAAAGGGGACGCAGGGACACAGCCCTGCGGGCTGGGATGTGGTCTGGGTGGGGCAGTCAACTTGTTCCGGTAGCACCAGGAAGCAGCACAGACCTCTGATGGCAGAGCAGCTACTGGAGCCCCTGCGACTGGCTCCCGGCCAAAAGAACGCTGCAGCCCGCCCAGTTCACGCCACAGGTTGGAGCTAGATCTCCAGCAGACAGGTGCTGGGGGAAGACTAGATCTAGGGACAAAGACAAGGCTTGGGGGTCTAGGGTATGGTCCAGCTGGGGTGGCAGCAGTGATTGTTGGCACCTAAACGGCACCCCAGAAGCAGCCCAGACCTCTGACGGCAGTTCAGCCACTTCAATTTCTGAAACCACAAGCTCTGACCCCCTGTCCCAGCTGAGCAACTGCTCTGGCTTTGCCAACTCCATGCCACAACCTTGCACTAGATCTAGGAAATGAAGACAGGGAAAAGGATGCAAACTTGGGCTGTGTCTGAGTAGAGCTGCAGATACCAACAGAGGCAGCACGTCAGACTTCTGTAAGCACAAGAGCCTTATTTTACTTCAGCACTCTCCTTTGGACCAAAGGCCTCAGTGTCAGGAGAAAGAGTAACATATACTTAAAGGGAACAGAGCCAGCTGGAGCCCAACCTTCAGCTCTTCCCCTCCAGCAACTGGAAAGCAGACCCAAGTGCTGACAGAACTCCCGCAGTTACGGAGCAAAGAGGAGCTCCACCTCACACCCTGCACAGGCTGTAGCTCTTCCGACACCAACCACACCCCCTATCGAGGTGACAGAGGCCAGCACACCCCGAGGAAAGATGTGGCTGGCGTACAAATCAAATTCAGTCTCATGCTAAAGACACTGATGCACTCATAAAAACACCCTTTCAGGGCCACTGTAGATAACTATTTCACCTAAATTCATAAAGACAGTGAAAGTTAAGTAAAATGAAATGCAGAGTAACTACTCCCAATTGAAAGAGCAAGAGAAAACCCCTGAAAAAATAAACTATGAAACAGAGTCTATAAGACACTGAGACAGAGTTGGTAATAAAAATGCCAGCTAAATTAAGGAAGACTAGCAATATAAACGCAGATCATTTTAACATGTAACTAGAAACTGCAGAGATGACCTAATCAAAAATAGATAATTCAGTTTCTGAGATAAAAAAACCTTCTAGAAGCAATGAATAATTAATCAAGTAAATGATACAGAAGAATGTATAAATAGAATAATGGAAATTACCCAATCAGAACAGCAAACAGAAAAACAAATGAAAAAATGAAAGCAACATGTGAGATCTATGGGATAACACAAAACATTCCTACATATGCATGATAGGGGTCCCAGAAGGAGAAGAGGGAAAGAAGAGGATCAAAAACATTTTTGAAGAAATTCTGGCTGAAAACTGTCCAAACCCAAAGAAGGAGACAGGAAGGAAAATTATCCAGGTGCTGGAACCACAGAGGGTCCTAAATAAGATGAATCCAAACAGAACCACACTAAGACATACAGTAAAACAAGGCAAAATTTGAAGATAAAGAAAGAATTCTAAAGGCAGCAAGAGAAAAACAGAGTCATCATGAGGGAAAACCCATAAGGCTATCAGCTGATTTCTCTACAGAAACTTTTCATGTCAGAAGGGAGTGGGATGATATATTTGAAGTCCTGAAAGGGAAAAATCTGTCACCTAGAACACTCTACCTGGCAAGATTATAATTTTGAACAGAAGAAGAGATAAAGAATTTCTCAGAGAAGCAAAAATTAAAATAATTCAGCAAAACTAAACCTATCCTAAAATAAATGTTGAAGGGTCTTCTCTAAATGGAAAAGAAGCAAGAATCAATAAGAAAGGAAATATATAGTGAGGACTGAAGATCACTTAAATAAGATAGGAAATAGATGAAAAAAACAACAAAAAATTATAATAGCAATCATAACTACAATAAACAGTTAAGGGATAAGCATGAAGATGTTAAAAAAATGGCACAACAAACAATATATAGGGGAGGGGAGTAAAAATGTAGATCTTTTACAATGTATTTGAACTTAAATGCCTATCAGTTTTATCAGTTTAAGCAAGTAGATATAGCTATGGGTCAACATATATGAACCCCATGCTGTGGTTTAATCGCTAAGTCATGTCTGACTCTTGTGACCCCATGGGCTGTAGCCAGCCATGCTCCTCTGTCCATAGGATTTTCCAAGCAAGAACACTGGAGTGGGTTGCCATTTCCTTCTCTAGGGGATCTTCCTGACCCAGGAATCAAACCCAGGTCTCCTGCACTGCAGGCATATTCTTTACTGACTGAGCCACCAAAGAAACCCATGGTAACCACAAATGAAAAAATTTACAAAAAAATGCACAAAATTCAAAAAGAAAGAAACTGAAGTAAACTATAAAAGAAAATGATCAAGCTACTAAGGGCAAAACAAAAAGAAATGAAAAAAGAAGAACTACAAAAACAACTGGAAAACAAGAAATAAAATGACAATAAGTACATGCTTAATAATTTTGGAGAGGATGTGGAGATAAGGGAAACTTGTACACTTTTGGTATACAAAAATACCAAAGTGGAAAAAAAGTGAAAAAAAGAACTTTCCACTTTTTTTGGTGGAAATGCAAATTGATACAACTACTTGGAAAAGAGTATGGAAGTTCCTTAAAAAACTAAAAATAGAATTCCCATGTGATTTAGCAACTCCACTCCTGAGTATATATCCAGAAAAAACAAAAACTCTAATTTGAAAAAATATGTGCACCCCAATGTTCTCAGCAGTACTTTTATAACAGCCAAGATATGGAAGCAACTCAAGTGCCCATTAACAGATGATTTACTTAAGAAGACATGATATATATATAGTCACATCTGAGTAATGGAAGGTTATTTAGCCATAAGGAAGAATGAAATATTGTCATTTGCGGCAACGTGGCTGGACTTAGAGAATATTATGCTTTTTGACATAAGTCAGAAAGAGAAAACAAATACTATATGTTATCACTTGTATGTGGAATATGAAAAATAATGCAAATTAATATATGTAGTAAAACAGAAATGGATTCACAGACATAGAAAATAAACTTGTGGTTACTGAAGGGGAGAGGGAAAAGAGAAGGGACAAACCAGGGGTTTTACAGACTAATCACCTAGATTAATAGATATAAACTACTATATATAAAATAGATAAGTAACAAAAATTTACTGTACAGCACAGGAAACTATAATCATTACTTTGTAATAACCTATAATGCAATATATTAGGTTGGTGCAACAGTAATTGTGGTTTTGCACTGTTGAACTTTGCTGACTGATATTGGAATACACTCTTAAATAAATGTGGTTATACATAATTTTAATGTGTATTTCTTGCTATATGTTTTTTGCTAATGACTTATTACTTGCTTTATATTTTTTGATTATTTTAGACTATGAAAATGATGTTATACAAAAAGCAAATTTGAGTGATTTTCTTATTCGAGTTCAAAATGGGTTGTAAAGCAGCAGAGACAACTTGCAACATCAACAATGCATTGGGCCCAGGAACTGTTAATGAAAGTACAGTGCAGTGGTGGTTCAAGATGTTTTGCAAAGGAGACGAGATGAAAAGAGTAGTGGCCAGCCGTCAGACGTTAACGACCAGCTGAGAGCATCACTGAAGCTGATCCTGTTAAAACTACACAAGAAGTTGCCCAAGGACTCAATGTCGGCTAGTCTACGGTCATTCTACATCTGAGGCAAATTGAAAAGATGAAAAGCTCAATAAATGGGTAATTCGTAAGCTAACTGAAAATCAAAATATTGTTGTTTTGAAGTGTTGTTTTCTCTTGTTTCATACAACAATGAACCATTTCTCGATAGGATCATGGTGTACAATGAAAAATGGATTTCATACAACAATAAGTGACAACCAGTTCAGAGTTGAGAAGAAGCTTCAAAGTACTTCCCAAAGCCAAACTTGCTCCAAAAAAAAGGTCATGGTCACTGTTTGGTGGTCTGCTGCCAGTCTGATCAACTATAGCTTTCTGAATCCCAGCAAAACCATTACATCTGAGAATTATGCTCAGAAAACTGATGCGATGCACCAAAACCTGCAATGCCTGCAGCTGTCATTGGTCAACAGAAAGGGCCTAATTCTTTTCCAAGACAATGCCTGACTGTGCGTAGAACAACGAACACTTCAAAAGTTGAATGAATTGGGCTAGGAAGTTTTGCCTCATCTGGCATATTCACCTGACCTCTCGCCAACTGACTACTACTTCTTCAAGCATCTTGACAACTTTTTGCAAGGAAAATGCTTCCACAACCAGCAGGAGCCAGAAAAAACTCTCCAAGACTTTGTAGAATCCTAAAGCATAGATCTTTATGCTAAAGGAATAAACAAATTTATTTCTCAATGGCAAAAATGTTTTGACTGTAATTGTTTCTGTTTTGATTAATAAAGTTGTGTTTGAGCCTAGTTTAATGATTTAAAATTCACTGTCTAAAATCGCAATTATGTTTGCACCAATCTAATCTGCAAAAGTAATGAATCATTATGCTATACACCTGACACTAACACAATATTGTAAAGCAAGTATACTTCAAATTAAAAAAAAAGCTAACTTGACACTCTAATCTCAGTGGTGACCAGTATTTTGCCTTATAAAGATAATTTACAAATGATCAGTTTCAAAACCCTTTTATGATTTCCATTAAGCAATTAATTAGTGACTTTTTAATTTGGAGGACAAGAAGAGACAGATTAGATGATCCATTGTTGAAAATGTAACTGTATAACAAAGACTGTAGTTTCAGGGATTCTCAGGATATTTAATTATAAATATTATAGAGGAATGATATAATAAATATGACTATTATTTTGCTATGAATATAACAGAATGGTCTGGTGGGGTAAGGTATTACACTGTTTATGTGTAATTTCATACTTCATATTCAATATCATTATTATGTGAAATTCTTTATATATCATTTTGAAGACCTAAAAGATTCTCAAAAGCAAGGAAGATTTGAAATAACACTTAAAGATGATGGATTTTCTTATCAAATATGTTAATTTGGCCTGCTCCAGTTTCCTTTCACATCAGGTTTATGGATCATTGTTGCTTTTTATAATTCATTTACAAAGCATGCCAGGAATTCAAATATAATTCATGAACACTAGAACAAATTTATGGAGAAATATCATATTGAAGAAACTAAAGACATACAAGGCAGCCATCAAGATATGAAGAATTCAAATTTGTTCACAAAGTTACGTGAAGTATGCTACATTTGTTCACAATTTAGCCTAATAGAAAAATTGTTTATTAGGCAACTTCCACTTACGAAATACACTCAATAATCTATTATGCTGAAATTCCATTTGGAGCATGCTACTTTTGCTCTTGAAAAACCTCAAAAGCCTAAAAAGGAAACTAAAATAAATTAATATCACCTGTGGTTTCAGTATATAAAGCACATATCAAAAAAGAGAAGTATAAATATTACTTTAAAATGCTTACTTGCAACCATGTCGAGTGCACTGTCCTCTGCCAGAACAGAATTTGAGACATGATGGACCAATATAAACTGCAGGGCAAAAAAGAGCATGTGAAAGATGGCAAAATCACAGGAAAGGGCAAGACCACCACCAGCATGTGAAACAATTTTGGGAAGCAATAGCCATGAGATCTCTTTCTTGTATGTATGTGGTGCACAGGAATCCAGTTGACATACAGAGTGCTGTGTGACAAGGTAGGTGTTTAGCTACAAATCTGCCAGAATGGTTTCAACTTAAATAATCCTTTCAAAATTTTAATCTGTCATAGCAAAGAAAGTAAGAACACAATAATTTGGGTTCTTAATGCAGTCTCTTCATCTAAAATGGTTTCAGGCAGAATATTAGTGCTTCTGTCTTGAACTTTCTACCAAGCTTATATTCTTTGGGTGGAAATTAAGAATTTACAAAGGATCAATTTGATATATCACAAAGTGGATAGATTACAATTTAATTAAAAAACTATCATTTCATTTTCATCTGAGGAGAATCTATATCACTGCAGATGACTGTTACATGTACTTCTAAATATTAATCTATCCTTCCTCAAGTGGAGACTTAAAATCTGTGGTTGAGCATAAAGTCTTCTCTATACTTGTAGAGCTTTTTAAAAATGGTGGGTTTGACTGATAATGATATTACAAACCTAAATTCTAACTGTGGGAATGCTGAGAAAAGGGGCCCTGACTGTTGAATGGTACGTTCTGAGATACTCAGACTCAAATACATTTAAAGATATTAAGCCTTTTGATAATCAGTACAATCAGTATCACATCAAATAGTGTAAAACTGGAACAAAACCAATGTGGAATCAGAGATCTAATGGTTATTGAGCTCTCATGTATTCTATTTCAGGCATAAGCAAAGTTACTATTCATTATCATTTTCTTCTCTAAAAGTTTTGTTGTCATCTTTCCCTGCTAATTATGAAATCATCAGGATGAATAAATTTAAAGGCTCTGTTTTAAGAGTGTGGAAAAGATAAATGCATTTTCTTCACTATTTTCACTAATGTAATCAAGCTAAACAAATTAAAAAGTGGTGACAAACATACTTTGCTCTAGGATCTTTCATTTTACTAAGAATTTTCAATATTGATCTGTTTTTTTTTCTATTTGTTTTCTTTGATGTAATTCTGAAATTCCATACTGAAATGGGAGAGATTTGGGGGGTATTCTTTGGCAAGTAGACACAAATTTCCCTTGAGAAGATGTGTGTGTACTCCTCTTGCCTTCTGAAGAAACCAGAAACCAGGTTCTGCTTCTGCAAAAGCCTCACATATAAAATAATATCAGAATTTAAGAGATTCTGTGGCTAGTTCTGCATTTGACAGACACTGCTAAACATGCCTATTCCATGTATTTTTATCTTTTCTCATTCTACTCAAAGCATGATGTTGGGAATTCACGATTTGAAGCAAACACTTCTTGATTTAAACTCATACTGTACATCTTAAGGAAATTTAAATATTCTTTTCATAGGCTTATGTTCTTCATTTTGCACTTTACTTTTTTGATAATCTAAAGTAATCTAAGCTCATTCTAGAACCACTGAAAAGTATGACAGCAGGAAAATGTCATCTATAGCCCACAATCCAGAGGCAGATACTCATTCCCTAGAGCTAATCAACAGGTAATTCAAGTTCTATGGAAAACAGCCTACCAGGGGAGAAATTCCATTTTAACAAATGCATCTTCAGATGTTTTTGCAAATACAGTGTGTTTGTCTCTATATGTTTGTACCCATGTGGCTCATATGGTCTTTGAAATCTGGGTCTTTTATTGGTCTTCTTTTAATACAGATTGTTTAAAAAATTTACTGAGATGATTAGACTGCATTACTGACTCAATGGACATAAGTCTAAGCAAGCTCCAGGAGACAGTGAAGGGCAGGGAAACCTGGTGTTCTATAATTCACGAGGTCACAAAGAGTTGGACACAACTCAGTGACTCAACAACAACAAACTGCAAATTATTTTGCCTGAAGTCATTCCTGAGTTTCAAGAATTGAAACTTCTTGAATTAATTGTGCATTAATTTTTAAATTATTCAGAAAAACAAAAATGTTAAGAGACAGAAATGTAGCATTTCACAATAGTGAAGGGTTTTCCCACTTTATAAAGTTAACATAAGTCAGTGGCTATCCTAAACTAACTTAAGTATTGATATTTTGTCATTTCTTCCCTCCCTTTTACTTCTTGTAGTATAAGCCATTCATTCAAATTTATATACTCTTTAAAAACAGGAAATCTCTGAATCTGCCTGAAGTAAGAATTGTCAAGTGAGTTGGCTACTAATAAGAAAATATAGGAAATTTACAGTCATGGACTCCAACAGATTAAATATGTTCTCTCATGAGTACTCAACATGAGTGATACTGGCTTTAATGTCATGCAACAATTTGTCAACAATTCATTTAAAAATTAAAGAGAACAGGGTATTTTATGTATTTCCAAATTTTCCCTTTATGCTATTTTCTGAAAAGGAGGTAAAAGTTTCACACAGAAGTTTCATTTTAGAGATGATGTTTCCTGATTTGTGGTGTCTGCATCTAAAAAAGAATCATTCCAGATGTCACAGTAGTTATTAAGAGAAGAATGAGTTATTTTAATACATGCAGTATGGTATTTATATTAATTTTGTATAAAACATTCAAGAGAAATGTTAGGATATCCCCTGTCATCAACTGCGAATCTGAGTTTCAGAGCTTTATGCATTTTAAAAGAATGTATGTTGAAGCATACTAGCATCTAATATTGCTGACTCCACTGTCTTTATGTTTCTGATTGTGCATCCCTGGGCTTCTAACGGAATGCAAAGGAGAAAGGGAAGAAAGGGCGTTTAATGAATTGCAAGACCATGACTTAGAAATGTGATTAAGTCTGTGCAGACGAACAAAAGCACCGGAAGAGCCTACTTCAATGGCATGTGATTATGACAGGCAAAAACTAACCATTATCAATTGCCCACATATTTCCAAGGATTGGTCCTGTTTGTCTCCAGCGAATTCGGGTGTCCCGGGTTAGTGCTGCATTAGGAAGGGGAATTGTTATTCGGTTCCACCTGCAAGAAAGTTAGCACAAAACAGCTTCATACCCAGTTCACACCTTTTGAATCTATTTTACATGCTTGTGATGTTCTAGTCTCTCTATGCTTGAGATTGCTGGTAATAAACTCTTTAAATTCACCTGTGGAGTCTGTTTATAATTTTAAAACAAATATATAACTTATAGAAACATCCATAGCAAACTAGAGTATCTTATAGCCATTGATTTTTTTCAGACTTTTTAAAAGAAAATTTTATATCAATATTCAGACCTTAGATATTATTCTGTGATAATCTGTGATGAGCTAGGGTGCTGATTAGCACTGATTACATCTTATTTTTTGCTATTCTCTAGTTCTATGCGTATTTAAACACAGGCTAGGAAGGAAAATAATTTTTAACTTAATCTTGCATTCTTGGAAACATTTTTACTATTTATCTAGTGATTATTCTGTAAAGAGACAAGTATTTTATATAGTCATCTTTAATCCTCCTAATGGTCCTTAAAGGGGTATATCTTTGTCTTCAATTTACATGGAAAGAGGTGGAAAGTTTGAGAGAGTAAATATCATTATACAAGTAGATGGCAGAACCAGGATTTGAGCCCAGATTCAATTCCAAAGCTTAACTTCCTTCCAGTCTATGCTGCATCTTTTCATTGGTAACTATTTTGGCAGTAAGTCTTTTTGGCAATAACCAGAGGTCACTATATAGAGTTTAAATTTATGCAATCCAAAATATAAAAGCTTAATACCTAAAGAATGAATGACTCTCTACAAATTGTGATCATGCATCAGATTTACAAAAGTTACTTTAAAAAAAAATGAGATCACTCCTAAATCAGATGAGAAGGAGAAGGCAGCTTTCTTACCTAGTATGACAAAAACACTAATCTCAGGCTTACTTACTGATTTTGAGTCTGCAACATGGATTCAAATCTCTTGCTATGTTAGAGTTCACTCACCCACTGTAGTTTTCAGAGGAGTAAATAGTGCTGTGAGGGAGGTGGGGTCCAGCACAGATCTCAGGCAAACATTCAGTGTGGAGTAGCGACCAGGAACGCCCATGGTTGGTAGAAAACTCTAAGCTGATACTGATCACACCAGAATAAGAATAACAAAACGGGGCAAAGATAACAGATGAAATTAAATAACTCATTTCTGGAGAAGTATATTAAACATCTGTAGAACTAGTGTAAAAAAATTTAAGATGCTGTTTCCGAAGTGATTGTTTTCCCCTCCACTGAAGTCTGGCCAGCCTTCAAAGTGCAGCAGTTAAATTACTGCTAATAGAAATGAACGATGTTTTAAAGACAGCAAATGGTAACTTGAGATTGTGCTCCTGAATTTGATAGATGGCAAGGCAATTACCATGTCTCACACTGCTACCGCATCCTGTGAACGTGAGACTGACAAAATCCTTAGGAAGGATAAGAGCAACACTTCAGCAAATAAAACTGAGAATTCATAGCTCTTGAAGTGCTAGTTGATTTCTGTGTCTATTATTAGGGAGTCACTAAACTACATGGGGTCAAACTTTTTTTCAGTTATTTGTTTTTTCTTCTCTCTCAGCAAACTGTTGGAATGGGTGACTACCAGAGCTAATCCAAACACCGTTGACACCTAAGATCAACTTCTTAGAATAAAGTCATTTCTACTTAAAATCTATCTAATCATACATATTATTTAAAGAAATTTTCTTTTTACCTTGGGGGGAAGTTTGTATTTTACTAATAGATACTTTATTAAAAGTTCAGGTGACAACTTACTAAGAAGTTGCTCTGATTGGATAGCCAAGTTCACGTGTTCATTGTTAATTTGTCCACACACACAGAATGTGGCTTCCTACCTGTTTCCAGGCTGCTGTGTTCCACATCCCAGATTAATAGAAAACTGTATCATGTGAGACATTGTAGAAGGGAGAACAGGTAAGACGTGGAAAAAATCTATGGCCCAGACATTCCTGTTATGTCCTTGATGGTTCTTTTGCCTGAGACAAAATTTGGTAGCAGGAGTCTGAAGATCAGGATTGATGACTACAGAAACCAAAGATGGAACCTTCAAAACAAAGGAAACCAAAATCACTCATAATCTTCCTTGTGGGAATCAGTGTGAATTCTCTTAAGATTCAACTTACAATTACTATGTATACAACTGCCATTTATTAAGCACCAAGCAATATTCTGCTTATTTCACTTGTTATTTCACATCAAAGATGCTGTGCTTAGGGGACACTCATTTTAATCACTCAGAATTCCTCCTTTGCAGACAGCTGAAACTCCGTGTGTGACTGGTCAGACTCTCTCTACCTGAAGATAAATTGGCTTAAGGTCTTTAAAGTTATCAAAGCTTATGTATCCATTTTATCTACCTTTGCACTAGACAAAGGCAATTTGACATTAATCAATCTTCTTTTAAAGTGTATTCAAGTAATATACATTCTTTGCCAAACCAGGTATTCCAAAAATAGGACTCTAAGCAGAAACATCCATAGCCAATGAGTTAATCCATGATAATTTACATAATTGATTTGGTCTGAGGCATGCAGCTGACCAGCGCAAGTATAACCCTACCTAGTCATAGCTGGAAAAATCATCCGTTAATAAAATTCCAAATGGTATAATTTGGGTGACCCTAGCATGTGGGGTATGTTGGATACTTTCTTTGTTGTTACCCATCTAGCCTTGATGTTTATCTTCTGTCTTCCTGACTTCAACTATGAGATGCTAGATGCTGGCTTTGTTTAAGCTTTTTGAAGTACTGGCTCTTTAGCTCAAATTAGCAAAGAGAAAAAAGCAAAGGTGGTAACAATCTATACTTCTACTGGGTCTTCCCAGGTGGCACTAGTGGTAAAGAACCTGCCTGTCAATGCATAAGAGACGGGAGTATTCTGTCCAGTATTCTTGCCTGGAGAATCCCCACGGACAGAGGAGCCTGGCGGGCTGCAGCACATAGGGTCACATGGAGTCGGACACGACTGAAGCGATTTAGCAAATACTTCTACCATATCTTTTGCTGAGGAAATTGCAAATGCTGGATTAATACTCACTATGCCTGATAGCAAGTCTGTGAGGCTGCACAGGTAGGGTCACTGTTAAGAGTTTTCTTAGGGACAAGAATAATTGTTAGCTCACTGGGCTCCACCTTATTGCCTCTGATGGGCTGTAATTCAATCTTTCTGATAAAATCTCACCTTTTTGTTTATATCAGGAAAAAAGTGAATGCTAAAATAACGTCTATGTCACTTTTAAAGAAATGTGGCAACTTCCTGGACTACCAGAAGAGAGATTCATCCTCTGCATTTAGCAGAGTCTTCACGGTTTTGACTTGAACTGGGGTGGGGCCATCTGACACACAGATTGGCATGTGTACCTTGTATGAGGAATAGGAAAGAGTATCCAACGTAATGTGTTCTTTTCTTCCTTCAGTTTTCGCATACAGGGCAACATCATTTTCATGAGAGTCTCCAGGATCACAAATCCCGCCTGCACACAAAATTTTAAGTGTTAGTACCAATTTGCACCCAGGAGCATATCAAATATAGTGTTAAATATTAGAATAAAAAAAATAATTCTAAAACCCAGATGTCACTTAAGAATGACCCTGAACAAATTAACCAGATCCAAAGAAATAATTTATGTAGACAGTTCAGATAAGCCATGCTAAAGATCAAAAACTTGACATTTTTGAAGACTAAAGTAACTATTTACCAAACTATTTACCAAAGTAATTATTTACTATTATTTGGGTAATGAGATTACCCAAATAACAGTCTGCAACAAACTGTGACTATAGGTCCATATTTTAACCGTCATTAAATAAATGTGCTCTGCTTTTTAATAAACCGTTACTTTCTTATATTTGAGGTCTTTGTGATCAAAGTTCAGAAACTATTGATTATGATTTTAAAAAAGTGTGGTGAGTCACTGAATCAAGGATTACTGAAGTAGTGTTACTTAAATGGTTGCATGTAGTACCTTTAATATTTTAGTACATATTAGGTATTTGTATTTTAGATGCAACTCATTTTACATTTTTACTTTTGGTACCTCATTTGGTTGTTTGAAGACATATAGAGTAGTTTATTCCCTATCACACTACTTCACAGTCATATGAAACGATATAAAGTTAGACTTTGAGAGATGATTAACATTATTCTGATGATGCAACTGAATTAATCGTGCAAGTACCTGAAACTGAAGATCATTTAACTAGTTGGTGGAAGAACGAGGAGTTGATGTTAAGTTTTAAACTTTGACCCTCTATTCCTTTCACTATCATTGGGCCAATAACCCTTATTATTGTGGCTTCTATCAACTGTCTGCTTAACCTGGATTTTAAAGGATTACTTGTCTAACCAGAAACTTCTCCCCGCCCACCATTATCCTTCATAACAACACCAAACAAAATAGCAGGAGTGGTGACACAGATTTCCTGGCAAACATTCTAGCCCTAAGGTCCAAAATTTATAATATTAATTTCTAATTTTATTATTATTATCTTTCAAGACAAATCTCTTCCAGTTCTTAAATCAACCACTACTAATCTTAATTTTTATCTACAGGAAATTTTTGTCCCTAATATTCTACAGTGACACAAAAAGCAAACTCAAAAACTCCAGAATAAGATCACCCTTTAAGAGTTAATCTAGTAAAGTCAATAAATAATGGATGATACTCATCATCTGTATAAATAAATAAAGTGTCATTTATTGCAAATGCCTGGGTTAAATTCAACCTGGATAACTGGGATCTGATCATGGATAGAAATTACTGAAACGTGATGTTAAGTAAGAAAGTTAGAACCTGACCAGTATAAGAAAGAAGATGATAACAGAAGTAACTTGGGTGTTGGTATTTGTTAAATCTGGCACACTACATTTGTCATATGTAACTTACATGTCAGACATACATAACTTACATGTAAGACACATGTAACTTACATGTCAGGCATACGTAACTTCAGTGTATGTAAGCAAGTGTGGGGCTTCCCTGGTGGCTCCGACGGCAAAAAAATCTGCCTGCAATGCGGGAGCCCTGGATTCAATCCCTGGGTCGGGAAGATCCCCTGGAGAAGGAAATGACAACCCACTCCAGTATTCTTGCCTGGGAAATCCCAAAGACCAGTATAAAAAGTACATGATAACAGAAGAAACTCGAGTATTTGTATTTGTTAAATTTGGCATGTTACATCTGTTAGACATATGCAACTTGCCATATAACAAATATTTACTGAACTAAGTAATCTGAACTGAGAATAGAGAAGCCAGATATAGTGATAATGTAGACCTCATTCTAAAAGATGTTTATTGTTCAAGGGCAACAACCTGTAAAGAGAAGATTATGATTTTGGCATCTGATATTATGTTTTTGCATATCATTGCACACTTCAAGGTTATAGTAAATACAGTTAACCAAGCCATTCTATAGGATAGTCTCGGCAGGTAGGGGGAAAGAGCTATATGAAAACTAAATTATCTTCTTAAAAACTGGTTGTTGAGCCAATATAAAAGACTTATCAAAAAGAACAAAAGAGGTGAAAGGTCACAGGCATTATGGGTTTAAAGCACCACATCTAGAGACACAGGAACTGAACCATCAGTTCTCTCTAATTTCATTAATTTGTTCCCTGTAAACCCTCTCTGCTCTCAAGAACAGTTCGTGAACTGCATCTGCCTTTCAGAGAGAATAGAAACCCACGTGGGAGTTTCATCCAGCCCAGAATGACAGAAGAAGAAAGTCCAAAAGGAGCCAAGACTTTAAAATGATGACAGACTTTATCTGAAAGATCCCTCTGGGGGCAATTTATCAGTTCTGTGAAGTTTCAGTGACAGCAGCTCCTTCAGAAAGATACAGATTCTTCTTCAGCTTCATTCACTTTGATGTATTGTGGAAAGGTATGACTCAAGAGGCATTTTGTACAGCAATTAAAGTACAGAAGATTTCAATAAAAGCTAGATGGACAGTTAGTTTTAAAATATTTTAAATCCTGTTTTAAGTATAAATAGCTTTTTAAGACTTTTCTTTTTTTTTTTTTACATTAAGAAAGTGGTTTTGTTATTTACTGTGTGCAGGATATTGGACCTGAAGGTTCAATTGAGCCCTGACCTCAAAAAGTCTGTAATTTGGCAAGTAACTAATAACATACGTGAAAGAATGATAATTAGCAATCAAGCGTGTTGTGTTGCCATAACTGCAGCCAAAATTCAGAGAAAAGAAATACAAGTGTAGAATAAGAGAGTGGGATATATAGGAGATGCTTAGTAAGTATTTATTGAAGAAATAATAAATAAAATTAAAAAACCTCAAACGAATGATGTATATTAGATTACTTTTGTCAAGATCACTGCATTCTGGCTCTGAAAACAGTGCTGGATACTAGTCCTCAGTGAATTTGTGTTATATAAATGAATGTGTGAATAAAGAAAACAGACCGTGAACCAAACTTAAAAAGTTGAGCAAATTTTCCAGAAATAGTAGTCATAGCAGATTGATATGAGCCAAAGGATGAAACCAGGAAGGACACATCGGCAGTGTCTGAGAAGAAGGGAATGTGATCTGTTCTAGATTAACAATCGGCCACTGATTTTCCTAAGGCACAATACTTAGTGAGGGGTTACTTATAAACTGTCTACCATATATTAAATCTCTTCCCACATTCTTTTCTAGTGGTTCAGATGGTAAACAATCCACCTGTAATGCAGACAACCTGGGGGAAGATCCCCTGGGAAAGGGAATGGCAACCCACTGCAGCATTCTTACTGGGAGAATCCCATGGGCAGAGGAGCCTGTTGAGCTACACGGGGTTGCAAAGAGTCAGACATGACTGAGTGACTAACACTTTCACTTTCACCAAAGTTTTAACGTCTTTTTCCATAGTATCCAGTCTCATCCTACCTATCCTGCTGTCATCCTGTCCTATCCTATCCTACCCTATCCTAACCTAAACACACCTTTGCTGGATTCTACCTTCTCCTAAAGATCAGACCCCATTCCATGTGTTTACCGATGAACTTCTCGAAAGAGCAGTTCTCTGTCGGTGAGCCATCTCCATTTCTCTTAACTCTATATACTTTGGCTTCCCAGGCACCATACCATGAGGAATCACAGGTGGGCTCTTCGTCCGTCTTGGCTGCCTTTTGTCTCTGTGGCATTCCTCCACTGCTGATCACCTCCCAGTCATCCCACCCCTGAACCACTCTCTCCCGCTCCTCTTGTAGCACAGAATCATGTCCTCCTCCTGCATTTCCTTATGCTTTTTCTCAGTATACTTTTTCTCTCCTTGTCTTTCTACCTACACCTAGACGAGGGTTCTCCCTACAGAGTTTTCACGTCCTACTCTGTCTCCGGCCTGGGAGAGCACAGTGACTTCAGTGGCTCCAGTTATCACCTGCATGCTGACAACTTTCAAATCTGATTTAGACCCTGAGTAGAATTTCTGTGCTTATATGGCCTTCCAGAACCCCCAACCTCAACATATCTAATAATATAAAACTCTCTACTCCACATTTTCTCATTATCATAATTATTATTATTTTTTGGAAGTTTTGGCCACAGCAATCAGAGCAGAAAAAGAAGTGAAAGGAATCCAGATAGGAAAAGAAGAAGTGAACTTCTCTCTGTTTGCAGATGACATGATCCTCTACATAGAAAACCCTAAAGACTCAACCAGAAAATTACTAGAGCTAATCAACGGATATAGTAAAGTTGCAGGATACAAAATTAACACACAGAAATCCCTTGCATTCCTATACACTAACAATGAGAAAACAGAAAGAGAAATTAAGGAAACAATACCATTCACCATTGCAACAAAAAGAATAAAATACTTAGGAGTATATCTACCTAAAGAAACAAAAGACCTATACATAGAAAACTATAAAACACTGATGAAAGAAATCAAAGAGGACACAAACAGATGGAGAAATATACCGTGTT